CTTCAAATATTTCAATCACAAACTATTATACATGAGAATACCGAATTTCATCGCGATTGACAAGATGTCGCTGAGAACTGGTCATTAGTCTGCGACACCAAGATTCACGAGTCAAAAGTAAAACAATTAAAAAAAACGAACATAAAAAACATGGTATATATATATATATTTGGGAAACCTTAATTAAATAAAAGGAAAGACACACTAGTCTTAAAAAAATTCACCATATAAATCATTTGTATTTCTTCACGATTATATTTATCACATGCAAAATCTAATCTAGAAATCATTTTTAAATTTGAAAAAAAAATCAAATAAAATTAGGCGGTTTCCCAGAAACAGATTGTACGAACGCTAATGCATAATTAATAGTTGATACTTTATTTACAACCAGCCATAAGAAATTTTTACGAATAAAGAAAAACTTTGGCCTTGGTCAAATTTTCGCGCAGATAACGAGATCGGAGAAGAGATTTGTGGTTTTGGGAGAGGATATATTACTTTGTATTTGATGTGGTAATATTGTTTACTTATTTATAAAGTATTATTGTAATATATATTAATAATACCCGGAATATTACAATGACCAAAGTATTTTAGTAACAATGAAAAAGTCTTTTTTTATGTCTTATCCAAACTGGAATTATTAGTTGAGTTGGACAGTGGTGGCACAGACTTTGTTGTCAAATATATCCGCTTTACGCTTAGCACGAAGCGCTATACCGCCGCGCCATGCGTCACACCATCTCTCATCTGAGGGACTTACTGCAGCTGAACTAAAAATCTTACAAATACGTGGCGAAACGAGAAAACGAGCCATTGATAACCAGCATATCTGAAAAACTGTCCGAGTGACACAAGTGTCTGAATGGCTTCTCAAGTTTCAATTGTGACATCATCATGAGCTTCTTGATGACTGGCCAATATCATGGAATTAAATATAGAAGTCGATGCTCGATGAAACATCCATTACCGGTCACATTTTATTTATTCATACGAGACAATACAACTAATTTTCTGTCCATTGTTACAACACAAACGCATTTACCAATCAATTTCTGAAATATTTCATTTAGCTACATAACAGAACTAGCCTATGTAGCAGAGAAGCGGGATTATCTACTCTTGTTTATCTGTTCGTTCTTGCGTATTTATAAATATGTGATATTTATTATAGTGTTTGTGGTGGATCTCTTGTGTAGTGAAGATGATCAGTAGATATTGGCCAGTTCATATTTGGTCGAATATGACGGTCGAATCGGTATGTGTGGTGAAGTAATGTCATCGAAGCGTCGGATGAAATCCAGTCAGTGTCAGAGACGTGACTTGAAGGTATTTTAATATTAACTTATCTTGACGTTTTGATGACTAACAATTTATAATTGGATATAGTTCGGATCAAATTAAGCCTATAGGTAGCTTCGGTGCTGGATCACTCAGTTCAATCAATCAATTTTATTTTGGTCACACTGAAAAAAACAAACCAACAACAAACGGACAAACAAAATGCAGTTTTGATCGCCACAGGAATTGTGGTTATTTTGCAATATATTAGCCCATTCCGACCAGTTTATGTCCGCTAACGTTATCACGAAAATGAAATGATAGATATATAATTTGTCAAAACCCCGTCATCTGCTACTTGACTTGGCATATATATTTGGTGAAACCTAACTTTTCTCTTGTAGTGAAACAACACTTCTGAATGTCACATATTCGTTATTAAACGATCGAAAAAAATATTAACCCTAATCAACAAATTAATTAAACGAATGGTAGAATTAAGGCGGGTCGAATTATGCATATCGAATGCAAATTTGAGCTATGTAGCATTCTTCCGTCCTTGCAGATCGAATACTGGTACCTGACAACATGTAATAAAAAAACAGCAGAATGGTTCCTACTATCGTCTTGCAAATATCATACACCCCAGTATGTGTGAGTATCCAGGATGCGCCTCCCCCATTACGTTCAATTCAAAACTGACAAAAAGTTCGTACCTATCCTAGCTTGTAGCATTAAATCCAATTTACGTAAGCCTACGTGGAATATGCTTTAAATCATGCAGCTGTTTGGGCAATATTATTGCGTCATGTTTTATAAGTTCATACACCAGAACCCGGATAATTCAAACTGAGTACCTAGCCGTAATTTATGATGGTAACACATAAACAGTTATACAGTTACAGAAATTTTTGAATGGCTTCAAATCCGCCATGTCACGTGGAGTAAAAAATAAATATTGAACCATCTGGAAAAAATATTTTTCCACTTATAAAATGCTAAATAATTGTCATTTAAAGTTCTGTGACATTGTATAAAACCAACATCAAGAAAGAATGATTTAATGCAAATCTCATAAAAAAGCATTTAACCACGGTAAATTTTCATACAACTATTAACTATTGAGATCCACGCAACTTATTTGCCGGGGCGTGCCAAATTTTCTGCTGCCCGGGGCGAGTTTTTAATAATGATGCCCCTTATCCCTAACTTCAAAATTATTTCGGGAGATAAACAGATTATAGATGTCGTTATACAAACTCACATGTATAAGATAAAACTCATTTATTAACAATGAGCAAGACGCTTATTTCTTTGTCCAATTGCTACTTTGCTGGCAATAAATGTCTGAACGACAGCCTCTTTCACCTTGCTCGTCAGGATTTTTTTTCGATACTGATCAAAGATAAAATTTACAGGCGCTTATTTGACATCGAAGACTTCAAATATGTTTTTCTACTGGTTCTTTTAAATAACAGAGCTGAATATTTTGAATTGGACTGATCGTTTGAAACATATAAACCATTTTAAGGCGTTAACTCGCGAAACAACCCCTAAAATGAGCACCAAAAATGTTGCAATTATGAAATAGGATAAGAAGAATTTTTCTGGGGTCAATAGTCGGGGAAACATACATTGTTGACTCATCATCACCACGGTCAGTCACACTAAACACATAATGTCAGCTTTTATTTAAATAAAAACGCATCGAGAAAAACATTTGTAAGAACGCCAACTCTACAGCTTGATTTTGCTACCCCCTACGACGTGCTGCCCGGGGCGGCTGCCCCTTTCGTCCCATTTCGGCACGTCACTGCTTATTTGACAAAGGTAAAAATAAGTCAAAGAAGCTGAAAGAGGCTCAACGTCGGAGAAAAACTTGGGGCCATTATTTTGGTTGAAGTAAAACACAACGTTATAATAAAAACCAATAGGAATTGAAGTAAAATAAAGTAAATTGCGTATTCTAATCTTGACTTAACAATCTATTCTATTTATCATGGTTGTCAATATACGTTATTGGTAGCCAGGCATCATAAATCTTTTGTGATTTTGCGGCAGAAGTATGCCAAAAATGGGCTCAACGTCAGAGAAAAATTCAACTGATCTAAAAAAACGAGGGCATTACTTTGTCTATTCCTGTTAACCATGTAATGGAATTATTTTTCTAAGCGGATTTACTCGTTTTAACGCCCTTACCGCCTAGCGATATTAGGAATGTCCCTATCGTTTCCCGTTTTCGTTAGAGCTGTATTCGAATAGCTTCTTCCAATTTTGGTTGATCGCAATTCATAGTGTGCAAAACGTGCGACGTCTCCGCGCGATCTTTTTCGATAAGTGGATATGCTGAATCGTCCGACGCATTAGCTCTGCTGGGTACGAGTAACCCTCTTCGAGACCCGAGACCAACAATTGTTGGTGAAAAGGCAGAACTGGTGATAATTCACAGCGTGCCTCCAGCTCAATTCAGCTTGGGTCCAGAATACTCTTCTCTACTCCACCGCCATGTCGATCCAGACCTGCTAAATTTCCCTGAACTCCTCATGTATAACCCCACCTTCTATTCGTGACATGGGCAAAATACGGCCCGCGGACCAAATCCGACCCGTTGAGTAATTCAATCTGACCCACACGATGCAGCCGCAATCAAACTAAAATCAAATTTTGGTGTTTTGGCTAAAAAATAAGCTCAATGGGTTTTTGAGATTGCGATTAAATTTAGTTTTGGCACGATGCTTATGGTTTCCCACTTTTGCAACACTGTAATTATTGTTCATAAAATGTAACTTTTCACGTCACATTTACATGTTCCGCCAGTCTAGTTGGGCAATATTATTAGCCCCTGGTCCAAATCTTGCCCACCCCGTTTAACCTTACCGAATACCCCATGTATAATTCTACCTCTTTGACCCATCTAATTTCATCAACTTTCATTTTCGAAGTTCCCCATTCGCGTAGTACCAGGGGAAGTCGTATGATGTCGGCGTTTAGAAAGTTGGATTCCTTATTTTAAAACGCGCTTAAGAATATGCATTTGTACGATCTGATTGCGAAAAAGGGAGATGTAAGTATCCGTGTACAATCGGGCGTGATCAAAGTCTCAGAGGCAAACGCACAACGAAGGTTGAACGCGAAGTACGATGAAGTAAATGGTATCAAAATCCAATCAAGAAACAAATTTCAATCCATAAATTCGGACATTTAAATTAGTTTAGCACCACAGAAAATGTTTATGATAAAAGCATTAACTTCCTTCATGGAATCCAGGGATCTTCTGCTATCTAAAACCCCACTCGCAGGGGCTTGCCAAACTTTTCTACCGCCCAGGGCGAATTTCTGATATTGTTGATATTTAATTCGAGGGATAAACAAATTATAAATGTTGTTATATATACATAAAAGTCAGCTTTCACCTATATAAAAACACATCTCAAATTATACAGCTTGGATCTGCTGCCTTCATATAACGTGCTGCCCAGTACGGCTGCCTCTATGGCCCTCCCCTAGCCCCGCCACTGCCCACTCGCAACTATCTCATTAGAGACATTCTCGCTTGACTCTGATTGTTTGCTCTTCACAAGCTTGTGAGTACTTTGCAGTTCACAATCGCTTTTTCTACTGTTACGTCACAAAACGTTGAACCAAAAAATTAAATGAATTGTTTTTAGTTCGTATCTTTAAACCACAAGGGTAGCTTACGATATAAAACGGTTCGCAATTATATTTTGGGGGGCTGATACCCTGTACTAAATAAAAATTGGTCGGTACGTAGCTCTCGTGTGGTATATATGTTTGGCAGACGATTGCTCGCACATATTTTGTTGATTAGAAATGAGTCAAAATTTCTTTCGGAGTAATGTCTTTCAATTGAAGAATGATTTCTCATAACGGACGTGATCCAAAGGTAATGTAATAAAGAAATATCGGGTCTTTTTTAAATCTGGTTAGGGGTGATTGCGGACTTTTCATTCTCTGTGCTAGACCACGCTTCTAACAAACTTTGAGGGGTAGTGTTGGTAGTCGGACAGTATTTGAGATGACAATGGGGAAATTTTAATTTTTTTTTAGATTTTTTCCGTAAAATAGAGTAGCCTATGCAAGGCATATTGTTTTCAATAACGTATTTTTCCTATTCGCAACGGAGAAAGCTTTATATATACTAGTACCCACATGGAAAGGAAACATACGAGTCGATCTTTAGATATGTAAGTATGTTGATAGGTATTTGTCTGTATGTCTGTTAGATGCACGCAGTATCTCATGAAAGCGTGGTTGAATCTGCTCCAAATTTCGCATGTGCATTCATCATATCTCGGACCAGAAGCCTATTGATTTTGGATGAATTATGTCGTATAATAAGCGAGTTATTAATTAATTAGTGGTGTGGCACGCGGTGTCACCATAGAGTCATGAATCGAAACCGCAGTTTCGATTGATAAGTCTTCGGTCTCCGACCGATATTCTCGTTAGAGTTTTGTTGTTTACATATTATGTAAATTTGGATTAAAGTAGCATGTTGACGTAAATTTTTAGCGTTATTCAATGAGATTGGCGCAATCCAATAGAATTTGAAATATAGCATATGACGATACTTGTTTGAGAATGCCTTGTTGCACTTATGACTCATTCGTCTTGAAATTGTTAATCAAGCGGGGAACTTAGGTCGATTACAAACTAGATCTTGACAAACCAATGTTTACTTCCATACTTCTTCCTACGTAGAAGAAAGAATTATTATCAAGCTACGTCCTTTTATTTATTCTCAACTAAATATTTTTTTTTATTTCATAGAATGAGAGTATATTCCGATCGTTCACAGGCCATATCAAAAAGGTAAATATAATACTAATTTCAAATTATTGGTTTTTATATTAAATTAGTTTATCGTATTTTATGTAAGATACCATTATTATACTTAATTAACACGTGGCTACAAAATAATATCTATTATATGCTTTGTTGCGTCGCTCCGTTTTATAGTTCCATTACTACTAACACAAGGCAGAAGTTTTCTTGCCATTGAAACAAGTCATTTCTATTTCAGCTGTGCTGCTGTTGCCGCATTCCAAAAAGGGAAAAACGATATAGAACGGTGAGCGAATTTCAAAAAAAATATCTCAATTTGATTGACAGCTTCCATATTTGAAAATGCACTTATGTATATTTTATACAAATGTGGTGGTTATTACTTTGCAGAGTTATAATATAAACTCGGAATGCATTTTGTTTTAGAAAATAACTTATGTTCACCAATATATATTTTTAACAGCAAACTACTGTGTCTTATGTCAAAAGTTCCTTCAACAATGTTGATACGATACCTTCACTGGAAAACGATGCTTTGGCAGACCAAATTGTAATTGATTGATTTTATTCTATTATTCACACATTTTATTTCAATTGATTAATTTGAAATAAATATTTTCAGATACAAAAATCGATAGTTGAGCTCCCTCGTGCGATCTCATATCCGGTGAGTTTTATATCACGAATATGCTCTGCTAACATTGGTGAATCACAAGTTTATATTGAACTATTTTTTATTTCTTTGCACAGAACTTACCTGGCTGCATGGTTGATGATAAAATCAGGAGTGTAGTTCCAAATAACAATGTGAGTTATAGTTTTCTTTCTTACCTTTTTTATTTTAGATCAGGGGTTCTTGAACTTTTTGAGCGGGGCCCAAATCTGAGTTTTATAAACATATCACGACCCAAATTTCAAAAATCGAATTTCCAATGTTAGCGATCACTATTTTGCTAGAATATGAAATAGACAAGTCACAGACAACCAATTATAACCTCAGAACAGAAATATATTAGGAACAAGAGAGCAATGCTAAAATATAGGGACACGTTAATCAGGGAGAAGCAGTTCTTACCTACGGCGCTGTACGCCATTCCCCGTTGGGAAAGCAAGAACTTTGTTACACACCGCCGACGTTCGATAAGCACGTGATTAAAAACAAGAAGAAGAGTGCTAGCATAAAATCGACTTTTTAGGTTTTCCACTAGGTGTCCAAAGAAAAAGTAAAACGATCCATAGGTCCACTTCGTGTTCAATAATAAAAAATTGAAGTAATAGCTCTGGCAAAAAAATCAATCTTTAACCACTGAAAATTTCAAAGCAATTTGTCCACTTATTCATAGCGTGTCAAAGAACAAGAACAACAACAACATCATATTGAAACGATCCATAGGTCCAACTAACGTGTCCTATTATCGATCCATCAATTATCATGCTGAAATTTACCTTCTATCATATTTTCAGTGTGCGGCTCTATTTTACCGAGCAAAACGCGCAAATTGTACCCACAATTGAGGCAATTGCACCCCTTGTTTTTAATAACTGTTGGTTCCGAATATTTGATGATTTTGGTGTTAAAATTTCCACTAATTTCAATTTTGTAGAAGGTAACTCTTTTTCCATTTGCTTGATGATGGAGTATAAAAGATACACATTTTCATCCCCATGAATCAAATTTCTTCAATATTTATGTTCGTTAATGAATGCTGATTTATTGAATAGAATGAAATTGCATTTTTCTATTTTTTTTTTAATTTGCTAAACTTTAAAGAAAAATTTTGAGACGCATTTATTTTCAGATTGGCACCACATTCAACAAATCCCAAACTTCAGTGAAAAATGATGAATGCGGCGCTATCAAAAAAGTTCGTACAACATTTTTCACTTAAACACATTTTTGTAGACTATTTTCAACAAGTTACTTGTGTAAAATATGTAGTCTTGTATATATATATATATATATATATATATATATATATATATATATATCAATATCTAATGTTGCCCTACAAATAGTATACCAATAATATTATTTATTCTTGTAATATTTAACGAAACGAGTCGAATTTTCATTCTGCTGGAAACCAGTAAACCTATAAATTGCATTAGAGACCTGTTTTGTGTAACTGCAAAACTTCATCGACACTGCAGAATTACCAGGGGTAACACTCATAAATTGTTTCGGAAATTGCAATTGCGCTATTTGATTTTAACAATAGTTTATTCTTCCTCAGCTTTCTGATGAAATACTCTCCCCCAAGGATGTTCTCATTTCTTTTCCTGCCAAAATTGATTTGCCTCCACAGGTATGTAAATTATTATTTTGATATAATATAGGATCTGTAATAAAAATCATACGTCTATTTCAAAAATCAAGAATTTTGTTGAATAAAGGATTAGAGGCAATTTCATTGTTCTATGTAATTATCTGTTCATTAGGTTTATTTTATTTATTTTTAAGAAATAAACGCAATTCTCAAGTCAAATATGTACAAGACGTTAAATAGACAAAATTAATCCCATGTATCGAAATGTCAAATTATGATATAATTAGGTCTTTGTTTTGTGTGAAATAAAAAGTATAAATTTATCAGTACGACGACGATGTTTCATTTGAAGACGATGATATCCCTAGTCTTCTGTCAGAAAAGGGCAATTCTGCTTTGGATTATGAAGACAAGGTTTGTTTATCAGCATGTTTATTAACTCATTTTCTATATTTGAAGAAATTACGATATAGTTATTCCGAGACGCATTAAAATTTTCAGGATGGCACCACATCAAACAAATACATAACTCCAGTGAAAAATGTTGAATGCGACGTCATCAGAAAAGTTCGTACAACATTCGAAAACGATGATGTCCTTAGTCTTCCGTCAGAAAATGTCAATTCTGCATTGGACGGTGAAGACGAGGTTTGTTTAGATATAAAAAGTACAAGAATTCAAATAGACTGGATTAATTTTTCGTCTTTGATTTTTTCGGGTAAAATATAGTTAGGTTTGTGTTTTGTGTAAACTACAAAATATGAGTTTAACAGGACGAAGATGATGGTACATTTGATGACGATGATGTCCTTGGTCTTCTGTCAGAAAAGAACAACTCTGCTTTAGATTGTGGAGACAAGGTTTGTTTGTCAGCATGTTTATTAATTCATTTGCTATATTTGAAGAAATTAAGATATAGTTATTCCGAGACGCATCAAAATTTTCAGGATGGCACCACATCAAATAAATACCTAACTCCAGTGAAAAATGTTGAATGCGACGCTATCAGAAAAGTTCGTTCAACATTTGAAAGCGAATATATCTCTAGTTTATTATCAGAAAATGTGAATTCTGCATTGTGCGGTAAAGACAAGGTTTGTTTAAATTAACCCGTAATATGTAAATATTATTTTGGATACGTGTGATAAGTGAGACACGTTGGACTATTAGGAAACGTGGAACAAGTGGGATACGAAATTTTCGAGACAACCTACATAGGGTTCCGTTCCTTTCATTTACCAAACGCAATTCATCAGCTAAATATATACAGAACAAGAATTTAAATAGACTGGATTAATCCTTCGTCTTACTAACGTCGGTTAAATTATAGCATAGTTAGGTCCTTGTTTCATGTAAACTACAAAATATGAATTTAACAGGGCGAAGAAGATGTTTCATTTGGAAGCGATGATATCCTTAGTCTTCTCTCACAAAAGATCAATTCTGCATTGGACGGTGAAGACAAGGTTTGTTTGAGTCAATTAACCTGTAATATATAAATGTTAAGTGGGATACTTGGGACAAATGAGACACTTCGGACTATTCGGACACGTGGAACAACACGTACAGGAAATTTTCGAGACGCCCCACATTGGGCTCCTTTCACATATTTTTTTTGCCAAACCCACTTCGCCAGCTAAATATATACAGTGCAAGAATTTAAAAATAAGGGATTATTCAATTGTCTCAAAAATTAGGGCAAATTTTACTTAGGTCTTTGTTTTGTGTAAACTACGAAAAATGAATTTAACAGGACGAAGACGATGTTACATTTGAAAACGATGATATACTCAGTCTTCTGTCGGAAAAGGCAAATTCTGGTTTGAACGGCGAAGACAAGGTTTGTTTATTAATAACTCAATATTAGGTGGAATGAAATTGAATTCATTTCATTTATTTTTGAAGCAATTACGAAGTAGTTTACTACAAAATATTAATTTAACAGGACGAAGAGGATGTTACATTTGAAGACGATGATATCCTTCGTCTTCTGTCGGAAAAGGCAAATGCTGCTTCAAGCGGCGAAGACAAGGTTTGTTTATTATTAACTCAATATTAAGTAAAATGATTTGGAAACGTGGTACAAGTAATGCACCATGTACTGCTGGGACACGTGGAACAGGACGTACATGAAATTTTCAAGACATCCTACATTGGGTTTCTTTCACTTATTTTTTTCTTCCGCCAAACCCACTTCTCTAGCTAAATATATACAGTGCAAGAATTTAAAAATATAGTATTATTCAATTGTCTCAAAAAGTAGGGCAAATTTTAGTTAGGTCTTTGTTTTGTGTGAACTTCAAAATATGAATTTAACAGCACGAAGAGGATGTTACATTTGAAGACGATGATATACTCAGTCTTCTGTCGGAAAAGGCAAATTCTGCTTTGAACGTCGAAGACAAGGTTTGTTTATTAATAACTCAATATTAAGTAGAATGAAATTGGATTCTTTTCTTATATTGAATGAAATTACGAAGTAGTTATTTCAAGACACATTTATATTTTCAGGATGGCATCACATTAAAGAAATACCAAATTCCAGTGAATATTGCTGAATGTGTCGGCATCAAAAAAGTTCCTCCGACATTTGAAAATGAATATTTTCCTAGTCTCCTGTCTGAAAATGTAAATTCTGCATTGGGCGGTGGAGACAAGGTTTGTTTGAGTAAATTACCCTTCAATATATAAATATTTATTTGGAAACGTGGTACAAGTAATGCACCATGTACTATTTACGCATCTATTTCCAGGATGATACCGCATCAAAGAAATACCAAACTTCAGTGAAAAATGCTGAGTGCGACGTCATCAGAAAAGTTCGTACAACATTTTTATAAGTACAATTTTATATACCTAACTTCAAACCAGTTAGTGGTGAATAATACTCAAGATTATCTATCCATATTCTATGTTACCTTATCTATTCCCAAACCGTTTAAATCTAACAAAACGAGTACAATTGTCAATCTCCTGGAAGCAAAAGAATGCACTGTCTTTCATAAATATTTGTTTTTGAGGTCAAGAATATTAAACCAGGTAAGCATCGATGTTAAATCATTCGATTTAAAATGAAGAAACAACTCAATAGAATATAAGCCTGTTTTGTATGATCGTGAAAATAAATTGGAAATTTAAATTTAATGAGTTAGCAATCATTAAAATTTATATATAAGATATCCAGAAACTTCAACTAAAATTGTTATACCGTTTTATTCACCTTGCTAACAAAAGTTTAATTTTCCCGCAACAGACCTCAGATGAAATGCTCTTTTTCAAGGCTGTTGTCATTTCCTTTCTCGACAATATTGATTTGCTCCCAAAGGTTTGTAAATTTTTCATCTTGACAAATATAATAACTACAATAAATAAACACAGGAGTGGGATTATTTCGTTGAATGAAATATTAGTGGTTTGTTAATTGATCTACATAATTATTTGCATATTAAGTTCATTCTACTTATTTTTTCTTTAACAAGTGAAATTCTTCATCTAATTATTTACAAATTCGAAGTGTAGCTAAGAATGTAGTTAGGCAAGATTAATCTCCTGTCTTACAAAGGTCTGTTAAATTTTAGAATAGTTAGGTCTGTGTTTTGAGTTAAATAAAAATTGAAATTTAACAGAACGGCGGAGATGCTTCATTTGAAAACGATGATATTCTAAGTCTCGTGTCAGAAAAAGCCAATTCTGCTTTGGGCGGTAAAGACAAGGTTTGTTTAATTAAGTAAATGAAACTGTAATATTTAAATACTGAGTGAGGTGCGTGGGCCAAGTGAGGCACGTGGGACTATTGGGAAACATGGAACTAGTGGGACACGACATTTTCGAGACACCCCACATTGGAATCCTTTTACTTCATTTTATTTTGACAAACACAAATCTCCAGCTAAATATAAACTGTACAAGAGCATAAATGGACTGGATGAATTTTTCGTCTCAAAAAATCGTTTAAACTATAGTATAGCTGGGTGTTTGTTTTGTGTAAACTACAAAATATAAATTTGACAGGACGAAGATGATGTTACATTTGAAGACGATGATGTCCTTAGTCTTCTGTCAGAAAAGGCGAATTCTGCTTTGGATATTGAAGATATGGTTTGTTTACCAGCTTGTGCAATAATTCATTTTTTATATATTTAATGAAATTACGAAGTAGTTAATTTGTGACGCATCTATTTTTTTAGGATGGCACCACATCAAAGAAATACCAAACTCCAGTAAATATTGCTGAATGTGACGGCATCAGAAAAGTTTGTTTAACGTTTGAAAACGAATATATCCCTAGTCTCCTGTCCGAAAATGTAAATTCTGCATTGGGCGGTGAAGAAAAGGTTTGTTTAAGTAAATTAACCGGTAATATATAGATATGAATATGGATACGTGTGATAAGTGAGACACGTTGGACTATTGGGAAACATGGAACAAGTGGGATACGAAATTTTCGAGACACCATAATAGGGCTCCGTTCTTTTCATTTACGAAGCGCAATTCTCCAGCTAAATATACACAGAACAAGAATTCAAATAGACTGAATTATTCCCTTGTCTTACAAAAGTCGGTTAAATTATAGCATAGTTAGGTCCTTGTTTCATGTAAACTACAAAATATGAATTTAACAGGACGAAGAAGATGTTTCATTTGGAAACGATGATATCCTTAGTCTTCTGTCAGAAAAGATCAATTCCGTATTGGACGGTGAAGACAAGGTTTGTTTAAGTAGACCTGTAATATAAAAATGTTAAGTGGGATACGTTGGACAAATGATACACGTTTGACTATTCGGAAACGTGGAACAAGTCTTACACGAAATTTTCGAGACGCCCTACATTGGGTTCCTTTCACTTTTTTTTCAAACGCATTTCTCCAGCTTAATATATACAGTGCAAGAATTACAAAAGATAGGATTATTCACTCGTCTCAAAAAATAGGGCAATTTTTGTTAGGTATTTGTTTTGTGTAAACTACAAAAAATTTATTTAACAGGACGAAGAGGATGTTACATTTGAAGACGATGATATTCTTCGTCTTCTGTCGGAAAAAGCATATTCTGCCTCAAGCGGCGAAGACAAGGTTTGTTTATTAATAAATCAATATTAAGTAGAATGAAATTGGATTCATTTTATTTATATTTGAAGAAATTACGAGTAGTTCGAGACCCATCTATATTTTTTCAGAATGGCATCACATCAAAGAAATACCAAACTCCAGTGAATATTGCTAAATGTGACGCCATCAGAAAAGTTCGTTCAACATTTGAAAACGAATATATCCTTAGTCTCCTGTCAAAAAATGTAAATTCTGCTTTAGGCGGTGAAGACAAGGTTTGTTTAAGTAAATTAACCTGTAATATATAAATATTAATGTGGATACGTGGTACAAGTGATGCGCTATGTACTACTGGGACACGTGAAACACGTTGTACAGGAAATTTCCGAGACAGCCTACATTGGGTTCACTTATTTTTTTTTCACCAAACGCAGTTCTCCGGTTAAATATAAACAGTACAAGAGTTCAAATAAACTGAATTATTTTTCCTCTTTTAAAAGATGATTGAATTATAGTATATTTAGGTCCTTTTTTTGTGTAAACTATTAACAGGACGAAGAGGATGTTACATTTGAAGACGATGATGTCCTTGGTCTTCTGTCAGAAAAGGTCAATTCTGCATTGGACGGTGAAGACAAGGTTTGTTTGAGTAAATTAACCTGTAATATAGGAATGTTAAGTGGGATAAGTGAGACAAATGAGACACGTTGGACTATTCGGACACGTGGAACAAGACATACATGAATTTTCAAGACATCCTACATTGGGTTTTTTCGCTTATTTTTTTTTCACCAAATGCACTTCTTCAGCTAAAAAATATACAGTACAAGAATTTAAAAAGATGGGATTATTCACTCGTCTCAAAAAGTAGGGCAAATTTTAGTTTGATCTTTGTTTTGTGTAAACTAGGAAATATGAATTTAACAGGACGGAGAGGATGTTACATTTGAAGACGATGATATCCCTGGTCTTCTGTCGAAAAGGGCAAATCCTGCTTCGAACGGCGAAGACAAGGTTTGTTTATTATTAATTCAATAGTAAGTTGAATGAAATTGGATTCATTTCTTATATTGAATAAAATTACGAAGTAGTTATTTCAAGACGCATTTATATTTTCAGGGTGGCATCACATCAAAGAAATACCAAATTCCAGTGAATATTGCTGAATGTGTCGGCATCAAAAACGTTCCTTCTACATTTGAAAATGAATATTTTCCTAGTCTCCTGTCTGAAAATGTAAATTCTGCATTGGGCGGTGGAGACAAGGTTCGTTTGAGTAAATTAACCTTTAATATATAAATATTTATTTGGGAACGTAGTACAAGTGATGCACCATTTACTATTTACGCATCTATTTCCAGGATGACACCGCATCAAAGAAATACCAAACTTCATTGAAAAATGCTGAATGCGACGTCTTCAGAAAAGTTCGTACAACATTTTTATAAGTACATTTTTATAAACCTAACTTCAAACCAGTTAGTGGTGTATAATGCTCAAACGCATCCATCCATATCCTATGTTACTATCTAACAAAACGAGTACAATTGTCATTCTCCTGGAAGCAAAAGAATGCACTGTCTTCCACAAATATTTGTTTCTGAGGTCAAGAATATTAAACCGAGTAAGAATCGATATTAAATCATTCGATATGAAATGAAGAAACAACTCAATAGAAATGAAAGCCTGTATTGTATGATCGTAGAAATAAATAAGAAATTTAAATTCAACGAGTTGGAAATCATTGAAATTGATATATAAAGTTTCCAGGAAATTCAACTGAAGTTGTTATATCGTTTTATTCACCTTGCTAACAGTAGTTTAATTTTCCTGCCACAGAACTCAGATGAAATGCTATTTTTCATGGCTGTTGTCGTTTCCTTTCTCAACAATATTGATTTGCTTCCCAAGGTCTGTGAATTTTTTCATCTTGACAAATATAAGAACTACAATAAATAAACACAGAAGTGGGATTATTTTGGTGAATGAAATATGAGTTGTTAGTTTATTGATCTACATAGTTATTTGCATATTGATTGCATTCTATTTATTTTTTCTTCACCAGGAAAAGTTCTCCGGGTAATTATTTACAAATTTGAAGTGTAGCTAAGAATGTAATTAGGCAAGAATAATCCCTTGCCTTACAAAATACTGTTAAATTTTAAAATAGTTAGGTCTGTTTTTTGAGATAAATAACAATTGGAATTTAACAGAACGGCGGAGATGTTTCATTTGAAAACGATGATATTCTTAGTCCCCTGTCAGAAAAAGCCAATTCTGTTTTGGACGTTGAAGACAAGGTTTGTCTAATGTAAATTAAACTGTAATCTTTAAATACTTAGTGGAATGCGTGGGACAAGTGAGACACGTGGGGCTATTGGGAAACATGAAACTAGTGGGACACGACATTTTCGAGACACCCCACAATGGATTCCTTTCACTTCATTTTTATTTGCCAAACACAGTTCTTCAGCTTATATATAAAGTATCAGAGTATAAATAGACTGGATTTATCTTTCATCTCAAAAAGTCGTTTAAATTATAGTATAGTTGGGTGTTCGTTTTGTGTTAAACACAAGGTATAAATTTAACAGGACGAAGAGGATGTTACATTTGAAGACGATGATGTCCTTAGTCGTCTATCAGCAAAGAGCAATTCTGCTTTGGATATTGAAGACATGGTTTGTTTACCAAATTATTCATTAATCCATTTTTTATATATTTGAAGAAATTACGAAGTAGGTATTTCGAGACGCATCTATTTTTTTCAGTACGGCATCACATCAAAGAAATATCAAACTCCAGTGAATATTGCTGAATGTGACGCCATCGGAAAAGTTCGTTCAACGTTTGAAAACGAATATATCCCTAATCTCCTGTCAAATTCTGCTTTGGGCGGCGAAGACAAGGTTTGTTTAAGTAAATTAACCGGTAATATATAAATATTAATTTGGAAATGTGGTATATAAGTGATGTACTATGTACTACTTGGACACGTGCAATAAGTCGTACAAAAAACCTTCGAGACAACCTACATTGGATTCCTTTCACTTGATTTTTTTTACCAAACGCAATTCTCCAGCTAAATATAAACAGTACACGAATTCAAATAGACTGGATTAATTTTTCGTCTTTGAAAAGTTCGTTATAATATAGTATAGTTAGGTTCTTGTTTTGTGTAAACTACAAAATATGAATTTGTTAGGACGAAGAAGATGTTACATTCGAAGACGATGATATCCTTAGTCTTCTGTCAGAGAAGGCTAATTCTGCATTGGACGGTGAAGACAAGGTTTGTTTGAGTAAATTAACCTGTAATATATGAATGTTAAGTGGGATACGTGGGACAAATGAGACACGTTGGACTTTTTGGACACGTGGAACAAGTCGTACACGAAATTTTCGAGACACCTTACATCGGGCTCCTTTCACCTATTTTTTTCACCAAACGCATTTCTCCAGCTAAATATATACAGTGCAAGAATTTAAAAAGATAGGATTATTCACTCGTCTCAAAAAGTAGGGCAATTTTTGTTAGACCTTTGTTTTGTGTAAACTACAAAATATTAATTTCAACAGGACGAAGAGGATGTTACATTTGAAGACGATGATATCCTTCGTCTTCTGTCGGAAAAGGCAAATGCTGCTTCAAGCGGCGAAGACAAGGTTTGTTTATTATTAACTCAATATTAAGTAAAATGAAATTGAATTCTTTTCTTATATTTGAACAAATTACGAAAGAGTTATTTCGAGACGCATGTATATTTTAAGGATGGCAGAACATCAAAGAAATACCAAACTCCAGTGCATATTGCTGAATGTGACGCCATCAGAAAAGTTCGTTCAACATTTGAAAGCGAATATATCCCTAGTCTCCTGTCAGGAAATGTAAATTATGCTTTGGACGTTGAATACAAGGTTTGTTCAAGTAAATTAAACTGTAATATATGGATACTGAGTGGGATGCGTGCGACAAGTGAGACACGTAAGACTATTGGGAAACATGGAACTAGTGGGACACGACATTTTCGAGACACCCCACATTGTTTTCCTTTTACTTCATTTTTCTTTGCCAAACACAATTCTCCAGCTAGATATATACAGTAGAAAGTATAAATAGACTGGATTAATTTTTCGTCACAAAAAAGTCGTTCAAATTATAGTATAGTTGGGTGTTTGTTCTGTGTAAACTATAAAAAATGAATTTAACAGGACGAAGAGGATGTTACATTTGAAGACGATGATGTCCTTCATCTTCTGTCAGAAAAGGCCAATTGTGCTTTGGATATTGAAGACATGGTTTGTTTACCAGCTTGTTCATTTATTCATTTTTTATATATTTGAAGAAGTTACGTAATAGTTATTTCGAGACGCATCTATTTTTTCAGGATGGCATCACATCAAAGAAATACCAAACTCCAGTAAATATTGCTGAATGTGACGCCATCAGAAAAGTTCCTTCAACATTTGGAAAAGAATATATCCCTAGTCTCCTGTCAGAAACTGTAAATTCTGCATTGGACGGTGAAGACAAGGTTTGTTTAAGTAAATTGACCTGTGATATTTAAACATTGATTTGGAAACGTGGTACAAGTAATGCACCATGTACTGCTGGGACACGTGGAACAAGACGTACATGAAATTTTCGAGACATCCTACATTGGGTTTCTTTCACTTATTTTTTTTTCCGCCAAACCCACTTCTCTAGCTAAATATATACAGTGCAAGAATTTAAAAATATAGGATTATTCAATTGTCTCAAAAAGTAGGGCAAATTTTAGTTAGGTCTTTGTTTTGTGTGAACTTCAAAATATGAATTTAACAGGACGAAGAGGATGTTACATTTGAAGACGATGATATACTCAGTCTTCTGTCGGAAAAGGCAAATTCTGCTTTGAACGGCGAAGACAAGGTTTGTTTATTAATAACTCAATATTAAGTAGAATGAAATTGGATTCATTTCTTATATTGAATGAAATTACGAAGTAGTTATTTCAAGACACATTTATATTTTCAGGATGGCATCACATTAAAGAAATACCAAATTCCAGTGAATATTGCTGAATGTGTCGGCATCAAAAAAGTTCCTTCGACATTTGAAAATGAATATTTTCCTAGTCTCCTGTCTGAAAATGTAAATTCTGCATTGGGCGGTGGAGACAAGGTTTGTTTGAGTAAATTACCCTTCGATATATAAATATTTATTTGGAAACGTGGTACGAGTAATGCACCATGTACTATTTACGCATCTATTTCCAGGATGACACCGCATCAAAGAAATACCAAACTTCAGTGAAAAATGCTAAATGCGACGTCATCAGAAAAGTTCGTACAACATTTTTATAAGTACAATTTTATATACCTAACTTCAAACCAGTTAGTGGTGAATAATACTCAAGATTATCTATTCATATTCTATGTTACCTTATCTATTCCCAAACCGTTTAAATCTAACAAAACGAGTACAATTGTCATTCTCCTGTAAGCAAAAGAATGCACTGTCTTTCATAAATATTTGTTTTTGAGGTCAAGAATATTAAACCAGATAAGCATCGATGTTAAATCATTCGATTTAAAATGAAGAAACAACTCAATAGAATAAAAGCCTGTTTTGTATGATCGTGAAAATAAATTGGAAATTTAAATTTAATGAGTTAGCAATCATTTAAATTTATATATAAGGTATCCAGAAACTTCAACTAAAATTGTTATATCGTTTTATTCACCTTGCTAACAAAAGTTTGATTTTCCTGCAACAGACCTCAGATGAAATGCTCTTTTTCAAGGCTGTTGTCATTTCCTTTCTCGACAATATTGATTTGCTCCCAAAGGTTTGTAAATTTTTCATCTTGACAAATATAATGACTACAATAAATAAACACAGGAGTGGGATTATTTCGTTGAATGAAAAGTTAGTGATTAGTTAATTAATCTACATAATTATTTGCATATTAAACTCATTCTACTTATTTTTTCTTTAACAAGTGAAATTCTTCATCTAATTATTTACAAATTCGAAGTGTAGCTAAGAATGTAGTTAGGCAAGATTCCCTGTCTTACAAAGGTCTGTTAAATTTTAGAATAGTTAGGTCTGTGTTTTGAGTTAAATAAAAATTAAAATTTAACAGAACGGCGGAGATGCTTCATTTGAAAACGATGATATTCTAACTCTCGTGTCTGAAAAAGCCAATTCTGCTTTGGGCGGTAAAGACAAGGTTTGTTTAATTAAGTGAATGAAACTGTAATATTTAAATACTGAGTGAGGTGCGTGGGCCAAGTGAGGCACGTGGGACTATTGGGAAACATGGAACTAGTGGGACACCCCACATTGGATTCCTTTTACTTCATTTTTTTTGACAAACACAAATCTCCAGCTAAATATAAACTGTACAAGAGCATAAATGGACTGGATGAATTTTTCGTCTCAAAAAGTCGTTTAAATTATAGTATAGCTGGTGTTTGTTTTGTGTAAACTACAAAATATAAATTTGACAGGACGAAGATGATGTTACATTTGAAGACGATGATGTCCTTAGTCTTCTGTCAGAAAGGGCGAATTCTGCTTTAGATATTGAAGATATGGTTTGTTTACCAGCTTGTGCAATAATTCATTTTTTATATATTTAATGAAATTACGAAGTAATTATTTTGTGACGCATCTATTTTTTCAGGATGGCACCACATCAAAGAAATACCAAACTCCAGTGAATATTGCTGAATGTGACGCCATCAGAAAAGTTTGTTTAACGTTTGAAAACCAATATATCCCTAGTCTCCTGTCCGAAAATGTAAATTCTGCATTGGGCGGTGAAGACAAGGTTTGTTTAAGTAAATTAACCGGTAATATATAGATATGAATATGAATACGTGTGATAAGTGAAACACGTTGGACTATCGGGAAACATGGAACAAGTGGGATACGAAATTTTCGAGACACCCTAATAGGGCTCCGTTCCTTTCATTCACCAAGCGCAATTCTCCAGCTAAATATACACAGAACAAGAATTCAAATAGACTGAATTATTCCCTTGTCTTACAAAAGTCGGTTAAATTATAGCATAGTTAGGTCCTTGTTTCATGTAAACTACAAAATATGAATTTAACAGGACGAAGAAGATGTTTCATTTGGAAACGATGATATCCTTAGTCTTCTGTCAGAAAAGATCAATTCCGTATTGGACGGTGAAGACAAGGTTTGTTTAAGTAGACCTGTACTATATAAATGTTAAGTGGGATACGTTGGACAAATGACACACGTTGACTATTCGGAAACGTGGAACAAGTCTTACACGAAATTTTCGAGACGCCCTACATTGGGTTCCTTTCACTTATTTTTTTTTCATCAAACGCATTTCTCCAGCTTAATATATACAGTGCAAGAATTACAAAAGATAGGATTATTCACTCGTCTCAAAAAATAGGGCAATTTTTGTTAGGTATTTGTTTTGTGTAAACTACAAAAAATTTATTTTCCAGGACGAAGAGGATGTTACATTTGAAGACGATGATATTCTTCGTCTTCTGTCGGAAAAGGCATATTCTGCCTCAAGCGGCGAAGACAAGGTTTGTTTATTGATAAATCAATATTAAGTAGAATGAAATTGAATTCATTTTATTTATATTTGAAGAAATTACAAAGTAGTTCGAGACGCATCTATATTTTTTCAGAATGGCACCACATCAAAGAAATACCAAACTCCAGTGAATATTGCTAAATGTGACGCCATCAGAAAAGTTCGTTCAACATTTGAAAACGAATATATCCCTAGTCTCCTGTCAAAATATGTAAATTCTGCTTTAGGCGGTGAAGACAAGGTTTGTTTAAGTAAATTAACCTGTAATATATGAATGTGGATACGTGGTACAAGTGATGCGCTATGTACTACTGGGACACGTGGAACACGTTGTACACGAAATTTCCGAGACACCCTACATTGGGTTCCTTTCACTTATTTTTTTTTCACCAAACGCAGTTCTCCGGTTAAATATAAACAGTACAAGCGTTCAAATAAACTGGATTATTTTCCTCTTTTAAAAGATGGTTGAATTATAGTATATTTAGGTCCTTGTTTTGTGTAAACTATTAACAGGACGAAGAGGATGTTACATTTGAAGACGATGATGTCCTTGGTCTTCTGTCAGAAAAGGTCAATTCTGCATTGGACGGTGAAGACAAGGTTTGTTTGAGTAAATTAACCTGTAATATAGGAATGTTGAGTGGGATAAGTGAGACAAATGAGACACGTTGGACTAATCGGACACGTGGAACAAGACATACATGAATTTTCAAGACATCCTACATTGGGTTTTTTCGCTTATTTTTTTTTCACCAAATGCACTTCATCAGCTAAAAAATATACAGTACAAGAATTTAAAAAGATGGGATTATTCACTCGTCTCAAAAAGTAGGGCAATTTTTAGTTTGGTCTTTGTTTTGTGTGAACTAGGAAATATGAATTTAACAGGACGGAGAGGATGTTACATTTGAAGACGATGATATCCCTGGTCTTCTGTCGAAAAGGGCAAATCCTGCTTCGAACGGCGAAGACAAGGTTTGTTTATTATTAATTCAATAGTAAGTTGAATGAAATTGGATTCATTTCTTATATTGAATAAAATTACGAAGTAGTTATTTCAAGACGCATTTATATTTTCAGGGTGGCATCACATCAAAGAAATACCAAATTCCAGTGAATATTGCTGAATGTGTCGGCATCAAAAACGTTCCTTCTACATTTGAAAATGAATATTTTCCTAGTCTCCTGTCTGAAAATGTAAATTCTGCATTGGGCGGTGGAGACAAGGTTTGTTTGAGTAAATTAACCTTTAATATATAAATATTTATTTGGGAACGTAGTACAAGTGATGCACCATTTACTGTTTACGCATCTATTTCCAGGATGACACCGCATCAAAGAAATACCAAACTTCATTGAAAAATGCTGAATGCGACGTCTTCAGAAAAGTTCGTACAAAATTTTTATAAACCTAACTTCAAACCAGTTAGTGGTGTATAATGCTCAAACGCATCCATCCATATCCTATGTTACTATCTAACAAAACGAGTACAATTGTCATTCTCCTGGAAGCAAAAGAATGCACTGTCTTCCACAAATATTTGTTTCTGAGGTCAAGAATATTAAACCGAGTAAGAATCGATATTAAATCATTCGATATGAAATGAAGAAACAACTCAATAGAAATGAAAGCCTGTATTGTATGATCGTAGAAATAAATAAGAAATTTAAATTCAACGAGTTGGAAATCGTTGAAATTGATATATAAAGTTTCCAGAAAATTCAACTGAAGTTGTTATATCGTTTTATTCACCTTGCTAACAGAAGTTTAATTTTCCTGACACAGAACTCAGATGAAATGCTATTTTTCAAGGCTGTTGTCGTTTCCTTTCTCAACAATATTGATTTGCTTCCAAAGGTCTGTGAATTTTTTCATCTTGACAAATATAAGAACTACAATAAATAAACACAGTAGTGGGATTATTTTGGTGAATGAAATATGAGTTGTTAGTTTATTGATCTACATAGTTATTTGCATATTGATTGCATTCTATTTATTTTTTCTTCACCAAGAAAAGTTCTCCGGGTAATTATTTACAAATTTGAAGTGTAGCTAAGAATGTAATTAGGCAAGAATAATTCCTTGCCTTACAAAATACTGTTCAATTTTAAAATAGTTAGGTCTGTTTTTTGAGATAAATAACAATTGAAATTTAACAGAACGGCGGAGATGTTTCATTTGAAAACGATGATATTCTTAGTCCCCTGTCAGAAAAAGCCAATTCTGTTTTGGACGTTGAAGACAAGGTTTGTCTAATGTAAATTAAACTGTAATCTGTAAATACTGAGTGGAATGCGTGGGACAAGTGAGACACGTGGGGCTATTGGGAAACATGAAACTAGTGGGACACGACATTTTCGAGACACCCCACATTGGATTCCTTTCATTTCATTTTTATTTGCCAAACACAGTTCTTCAGCTTATATATAAAGTATCAGAGTATAAATAGACTGGATTGATCCTTCATCTCAAAAAGTCGTTTAAATTATAGTATAGTTGGGTGTTCGTTTTGTGTTAAACACAAAATATAAATTTAACAGGACGAAGAGGATGTTACATTTGAAGACGATGATGTCCTTAGTCTTCTATCAGCAAAGAGCAATTCTGCTTTGGATATTGAAGACATGGTTTGTTTACCAGATTGTTCATTAATCCAATTTTTATATATTTGAAGAAATTACGAAGTAGGTATTTCGAGACGCATCTATTTTTTTCAGTACGGCATCACATCAAAGAAATATCAAACTCCAGTGAATATTGCTGAATGTGACGCCATCGGAAAAGTTCGTTCAACGTTTGAAAACAAATATATCCCTAATCTCCTGTCAAATTCTGCTTTGGGCGGCGAAGACAAGGTTTGTTTAAGTAAATTAACCTGTAATATATAAATATTGATTTGGAAACGTGGTATAAGTGATTTACTATGTACTACTTGGACACGTGCAATAAGTCGTACAAAAAACCTTCGAGACAACCTACATTGGGTTCCGTTCACTTGATTTTTTTTACCAAACGCAATTCTCCAGCTAAATATAAACAGTACACGAATTCGAATGGACTGGATTAATTTTTCGTCTTTGAAAAGTTCGTTATAATATAGTATAGTTAGGTTCTTGTTTTGTGTAAACTACAAAATATGAATTTGTTAGGACGAAGAAGATGTTACATTCGAAGACGATGATATCCTTAGTCTTCTGTCAGAGAAGGCTAATTCTGCATTGGACGGTGAAGACAAGGTTTGTTTGAGTAAATTAACCTGTAATTTATGAATGTTAAGTGGGATACGTGGGACAAATGAGACACGTTGGACTTTTTGGACACGTGGAACAAGTCGTACACGAAATTTTCGAGACACCTTACATCGGGCTCCTTTCACCTATTTTTTTCACCAAACGCATTTCTCCAGCTAAATATATACAGTGCAAGAATTTAAAAAGATAGGATTATTCACTCGTCTCAAAAAGTAGGGCAATTTTGTTAGGCCTTTGTTTTGTGTAAACTACAAAATATTAATTTAACAGGACGAAGAGGATGTTACATTTGAAGACGATGATATCCTTCGTCTTCTGTCGGAAAAGGCAAATGCTGCTTCAAGCGGCGAAGACAAGGTTTGTTTATTATCAACTCAATATTAAGTAAAATGAAATTGAATTCTTTTCTTATATTTGAACAAATTACGAAAGAGTTATTTCGAGACGCATGTATATTTTAAGGATGGCAGAACATCAAAGAAATACCAAACTCCAGTGCATATTGCTGAATGTGACCTCATCAGAAAAGTTCGTTCAACATTTGAAAGCGAATATATCCCTAGTCTCCTGTCAGGAAATGTAAATTATGCTTTGGACGTTGAATACAAGGTTTGTTCAAGAAAATAAAACCGTAATATATGGATACTGAGTGGGATGCGTGCGACAAGTGAGACACGTAAGACTATTGGGAAACATGGAACTAGTGGGACACGACATTTTCGAGACACCCCACATTGTTTTCCTTTTACTTCATTTTTCTTTGCCAAACACAATTCTCCAGCTAGATATATACAGTAGAAAAGTATAAATAGACTGGATTAATTTTTCGTCACAAAAAAGTCGTTCAAATTATAGTATAGTTGTGTGTTTGTTCTGTGTAATCTATAAAAAATGAATTTAACAGGACGAAGAGGATGTTACATTTGAAGACGATGATGTCCTTCATCTTCTGTCAGAAAAGGCCAATTGTGCTTTGGATATTGAAGACATGGTTTGTTTACCAGCTTGTTCATTTAATCATTTTTTATATATTTGAAGAAGTTACGTAATAGTTATTTCGAGACGCATCTATTTTTTCAGGATGGCATCACATCAAAGAAATACCAAACTCCAGTAAATATTGCTGAATGTGACGCCATCAGAAAAGTTCCTTCAACATTTGGAAAAGAATATATCCCTAGTCTCCTGTCAGAAACTGTAAATTCTGCATTGGACGGTGAAGACAAGGTTTGTTTAAGTAAATTGACCTGTGATATTCAAACATTGATTTGGAAACGGGGTACAAGTAATGCACCATGTACTGCTGGGACACGTCACTGGGACACTGGGAAAATATATAAATATTTATTTGGGAACGTGGTACAAGTAACGCACCATGTACTATTTACGCATCTATTTCCAGGATGACACCGCATCAAAGAAATACCAAACTTCAGTGAAAAATGCTGAATGCGACGTCATCAGAAAAGTTCGTACAACATTTTTAAAGTACAATTTTATATACCTAACTTCAAACCAGTTAGTGGTGAATGATGCTCAAGAATATCTATCCATATTCTATGTTGCCTTATATTTTTCCAAACTGTTTAATATCTAACAAAACGAGTACAATTGTCAATCTCCTGGAAGCAAAAGAATGCACTGTCTTCCATAAATATTTGTTTTTGATGTCATGAATATTAAACCGAGTAACTGAGCATCGATAACCGAGCATCGATATTAAATCATTCGATTTAAAATGAAGAAACAACTCAATAGAATAAAAACCTGTTTTGTGTGATCGTGAAAATGAATGGGAAATTCAAATTTAACGAGTTGGCAAAAGTTTCCAGAAGCTTCAACTGTATTTGTTATATCGTTTTATTCACCTTGCTAACAAAAGTTTAATTTTTCTGCCACAGATCTCAGATGAAATGCTAATTTTTGAGGCTGTTGTCATTTCTATTCTCGACAATATTGATTTGCTTCCAAAGGTTTGTGAATTTTTTATCTTGACAAATATAAGAACTACAATAAATAAACACAGGAGTGGATTATTTCGTTGAATGAAATATTAGTGGTTTGTTAATTGATCTACATAATTATTTGCATATTGAGTTCATTCTACTTTTTTTTTCTTCAACAAGTGGAATTCTTCAGCTAATTATTTACAAATTCGAAGTGTTGCTAAGAATGTAGTTCGGCAAGATTAATCCCTCGTCTTACAAAATACTGTTAAATTTTAAAACAGTCAGGTCTGTGTTTTGAGTTAAATAACAAAATTTAACAGAACGGCGGAGATGCTTCATTTGAAAACGATGATATTCTTAGTCTCCTGTCAGAAAATAGCAATTCTGCATTGGACGTTAAAGACAAGGTTCGTTTAAGTAAATTAAATTGTAATATTTAAATACTGAGTGGGATGCGTGGGACAAGTGAGACACATAGAACTATTGGGAAACATGGAACTAATGGGACACGACATTTTCGAGACACCCAACATTGTTTTCCTTTCACTTCATTTTTCTTTGCCACACACAATTTCCCAGCTTAATATATACAGAACAAGAATTCAAATAAACTGGATAAATTTTCGTCACAAAAAAGTCGTTTAAATTATAGCATAGTTGGGTATTTGTTCTGTGTAAACTATAAAATATGAATTTAACAGGACGAAGTGGATGTTACATTTGAAGACGATGCTATCCTTAGTCTTCTGTCAGAAAGGGCCAATTCTGCTTTAAATATTGGAGACATGGTTTGTTTACCAGTTTGTTCATTTATTCATTTTTTTATATATTTCAAGAAGTTACGTGGTAGTTATTTTGAGACGCATCTATTTTTTCAGGATGGCATCACATCAAAGAAATACCAAACTCCAGTGAATATTGCTGAATGTGACGCCATCAGAAAAGTTCCTCCAACAGTTGAAAACGAATATATCTCTAGTCTTCTGTCAGAAAATGTGAATTCTGCATTGGACAGTGAAAACAAGGTTTGTTTAAGTAAATTAACCTGTAATATTTAAATATTGATTTTGAAACGTGGTACAAGTGATGCACCATGTACTACTGAGACGCGTGGAACAAGTCGTACACGACATTTTCGAGACACCCTCCATTGGGTTGATTTCACTCATTTTCTTTACCCAACGCAGGAATTCGAATAGACTGGATTAATTGTTCGACTTTAAAAAGTTCGTTAAATTATAGTTAGGTCTTTGTTTTGTGTAAACTACAAAATATGAATTAAACAGGACGAAGAAGATGTTACATTTGAAGACTAGAGATTTATTAGCTTGTTCATTAATTCATCATCTATATATATTTAAAGAAAATGCCATATAGTTATTTCGAGAGGCATCTTTATTTCCAGGATGGTACCACATCAAACAAATATCAAACACCAGTAAAAAATGCTGAATGCGACGCTATCCGAATGGTTCGTACAACATTTGAAAACGATGATATCCCTAGTCATCTGTCAGAAAATGCATTGGACATTGGGGACAAGGTTAGTTTATATAAATTTACTTGTATAGCGTATAAATATTAATTTAGATACGTGAGACAAATAAGACACGTGGGACTATTTGGAAACGTGGAACTCGAAGTTTTGATTGGGTTTCTTTTACTTATTTTTTCTTCAACAAACGCAATTCTACAGCTAAATATATACAATACTGTACAAGAATCATGTTTCAAAATGTCTGTTGAGTTATAGTATAGCTAGGTTCTTGTTTTGTGTAAACTACAATATTTAAATTTGACAGGACGAAAAAGATGTTTTATTTGAAGACTGTGATATTCTTAGTCTTCTTCCAGAAAAGGCCAATTCTGCTTTGGAAGGTGGAGACAAGGTAACTATAAAATTTACGACTATTGAGTTATTGTGTATATGGCTGTTGCCATATACACATATATCGTAGTTGAAAATGACGTTGAGTTTAAATTGCTCGTGGAAAGGAATAACTTCAAAAGATTTAGAGACAAACTTTATTTATTTGCTCCCCAAAATTAGTGAATGCCTCATTTTGTTCAATGAAACCTTGATGATCATATAAATATAAACAATCTATGTCAGGGTGGTCCAAACTGCGGGCCGCATGCGTCCACAAGTGCACATGTCTTGTCACTAAGTTTATTTTACATCTGTTTGAATGACATTTACAACAATGAGACGTTTGCTTAATAACTTTATATATAAACCGTCAACTGGAATTGTTACAGCGTTTGATTCTTCTTGTTAACAAACGTTTAATTTTCTTACCACAGCTTTCAGATGAAATACTTCTTTCGAAAGATGTTCTCATTTCCATTCCGGACAAAATTGATTTGGCTTCAGCGGTTTGTAATTTTTTATCGTACATCTAAAAGATGCATAAACGGCGATTTAGAAAATAATCTAAGTAGGCAGTATGAAATGTCAGTTATTAAATTTTAGTTTGTTTTGTGTTGAATAAAAAGTCTGAATTTAATAGGAAAGAGAAGATGTTTCATTTGGAGATGATGATATTCTTAGTCTTCTGTCCGAAAATGTAAATTCTGTTTTGGACGGCGAAGACAAGGTATCTATATATATATATATATATATATATATATATATATATATATATATATATATATATATGATATACGACTATTGAGCTATTATATATTAGCAAGACATTCGCACCCACGCACATTTGTAACCGGGGACAAATATATCTCGGGTGAAAATGACCTTAGGTTTAAATGACCCGTGGGCTCAAATATTTACAGGTGCAAATGTACTGTCATCATATTTTTTTTACATTTGTTTGAATGGTATTCGTTACCATGCGGCGTCGGCCCAATAACTTTATGCTGATTTGCGAATATTTATGACACTGATTAGTTCAGGGAGAAAGTTGACATTTGAAAACATCAGATACCAAAATTCAAATCTCGCTTCATTAATAAAAGAATACATGAGGGTTTTAGGAAGCATATAATGCATGTAAAACATATAACATATGCATATTGTTTTTTGTTAATCGCAATAATACTCAATTTAAATGTTTTATTTATTAATCTATAAATATCCATTTCTGTTTTCGAGTTATATTGATTACAAATTGCTGCTTAATGAAATTTATTTGGTAACGAGCGTTGAAGCCATTTCTCTACTTTCATTTTCAGATGAAATATTCACAATTAGGGGAACCTCCACCTCCGTGAATTCAAGAAGATTTTAACGATGAAACTTTAATTTTTTCAATAAAATTTTCTAGTCAGAAAATCTGTTTTTTGTATTTCTTTCGTTTGACAAAGTTCGTTCGCATTTTTTGCCAAACAGCTAAAACTGTCCGAGCAGTCGCTGCTGAGCTATGTTTGAGTACTTACAATAAAAACACAACAATGGTAGCTATATCTAGCAGATGTTATTGTCAGTGGGTGTCAATACGAAACATTAATATTGCTTTTGATAGTTACTAGAGATGTATCGATACCATTGAAAAAAAGCCAATACCAATATTTCAAAATAGACAATAAGTTTATTTCGTCGTGCAAGAAATCACAACACAAATTCAAAATAGGAAAAAATAATTATGCGTTACAGTAATGGATTTCATTGCAATTGACTGGAGGTCGCGAAGGACCAGAGATGGTCATCATAAGTCTGCGACACCAAGATTGAAAACGAGTTAATAAAAATTGAAACAAATGAAAGCAATAAGCACAAAGAGAAACTTATTCATTCAATAATTAACCAACAAGATTGATATGAATCATCATATATGATTTGGAAGAGAATGTAGAAATAAAAGTCGAGGAAATTCAATTGATATACAGTAATTATTAAAATAATTCACCATATCATTCAGCTGTACTTCTGTACAATAGCAGCGATTAAATATTTTATCTATTGTCATATTTTTATCTATTGTCATATGCAACATTAAATCGAGCGATTATTTTATCTGATGAGAGAAATGCAAATATTCCTTTAATAGTAATTATCATCTTGAGTGTACGGGACGGGCAGGATAATTAGTTGTATGCGAACATTATTTCGACTTAAAAAACTGATATATATATAGGAACATGATAAAATATGATTGCGTGAGATTCAGGTGCATAACTGACGGTTCACTAGATCAGGGCCAATACTCGAATGTGGATACTTGGCTAATCAAAATGGCTAATGGCAGAATGGAGGCATAAAATTACGATTTAAATCATTGTGTTTTGAAAAATATTCATATTATATTACTTGTATAACTTGTATATTACTAGATTTGAATCATCAATGTTATTCATATTTGTCAAACTTGAAACGTAACGCCATTGCCAGATTACAGCATCATATTATTACTTATCGATCTTACGCCACCACCAAGTCCATGCTTCGATAAATACAATGACATATTAACAGAAACTTCGGGAAAGCAGACAAAACCTTAAATAAGGTTTAAAACGTTACTATGAAGAAAGGAAAGGTAATGATATTTATATATCTCTGTGGCCGCCACTGAACTAACCCCATAACCGACTTGGAATGATAACCGGACGAGAGGCCGTGGTTTGCCATATGGATCAAAGTCCATATATACCTAAGTTGCGCAACAATGGAAATTGGCCGCCATTTTCGATCAATGTCGCCTGCGAGGTTACGGCGGTTCTGCGTGATCCTCGGCTAGGCTGGTGCCTTCTGCCATAAAATTATAGGCTGCTCGGCGTCTAATTGCAGCGGGAACAGCAAACAGTGCAACTATTGAAGCTATCAGCAGATGCCGAAACAAGAAACTAATGGGAAAATATTTGTGGAGGCTGGAAATCCGGCCCAGGCAGTTCGTTGTGTGAGGTTAGTCAAACGAATGGCCTAACGTCAAACTGACACCAGACAGGCTAGTAATCTGCAGGCTGTACATAGTTTTGGGATGATGTCACATTTAATTATTTATATCACGTTGCCGATCCGACTCACTAAAGTTAGCCCAGAAAAGTTACCGGTAACTAAAGTAAAGTTGAACTACTAAGATTTTCTAAACGCTGGCTTCAGGTGTCAGATTAGGAAAACTGTATTTAAATCATCCTAAGCAATGCAATGTCAGAATTCAGTGCATTGAATGTATAAGATTCACTGTCATGATAACTTGGAGTCCTGCGGTCACAACAATTCATAGTAATTAGCAGAAATGTGAATAGAAAAGTCGGAGCTTAGTGAAAATAATGCTTTTTCTTTTGAATTTTTGAACTGATTCCGCGTTTAGTTAAGTCACTGTCAATTCTATTTTGTGGTAAGAATGGGGTGCTGAACGCTTGCTATTTCAAAAGTACGTTCATTTTATAACTTACAACTCATTCCATTTTCAGACTCATTTTTGAAAAATATCAATTTGAACCGAAGAGGACGGATAAATGGAAGCATTTAAACATTTCTCTCTCGATTCCATTCACATTTCTTTTTAAACCTTTCTCTTTTGACTTGCTCTCTCGATTCGATTTACGTTTTCTAAATTTCCCCTGAGCTAACTTAATTCTAGATTAATCATTTCTTCCCCGACTCTCTTGATTCCATTCATACTTTTTATTTAAACTTTTCTCATTTGGCTTACTCTCTCGATTCGATTTACGTTTTCCAAATTTTTGCCCTGATCATATATAACTCAACCTTAATCATTTGACGTTTTTTTGACGTCATTCAGCTTTAATGGTGTCGCTGACACGATGACTTGATAGTCTTTCGCGGCTCCTCGTTAATTGCAGTCGAAACATTATGTGTCTGTTGTTTTCTTTTGCCTTGATTTACTATGCTTGTGTTGTTCATAATGTTTCTTGCACGACGAAAATAAATTATCTGAATCTGAATAAAATGGGATATAGACAATATTTGATGAGCCAAATTCACCAAAAAATTCAAATCATCAAAACCTGAATTAGCTAAGATATTGACTGAGATGAAGTTTCAAAAAAGAACAATGAGCATACAGTAAGTTTTGAATGCCGAAGTAATCTGTAATTGTCGGTTTGAATATCTTGAAATGAATCATTTCACCTACGTTTTAAGTTTGATCAAAACATCCTACTCCAGGTGCCACCAGGACAAACCAGTTGTGCCAGAAGCCTATAATGTTGGGTCATATACAGCACAAGAGTGTGAGACTGCTGCTTAAGCCTCAAGAATGACGTCAGAAGTATTATGGCTTCTGTTTATGCATATGATGTATTGTGGACTGTTGAGGACGCGCTTCGATGGTTACTACTTTGCGCACAGTGAGTGGACTGTTGCATGTGTCTAGCTAGAATCACATTACACTGTGTAACACACATTTTGTTACTGGCTTCTGATTATTATTTTCTGATGAACAGTTACATACCAAAACTGAAGAAAAATGGATTTTGATTTGGGGGTGTTTCACCCAAATCGGTTTTTTTTTTTTTTTTTTTGGGGGGGGGGGGGGTATAAAACAACATAAAACTTCCAATATAACACAGGGGTGCTATTTTTTGTGTTTTCAATTATCCAAATTAAATACCTATTTAGCGATTAGATGACTTATAATTGAACATAAAAATACAGATTATTTGTTAAAGTCAATTTCACGAATAAGCACTCATATGTAGTCACCATCGCTTGGCTGACATGGGCAGTCCCGATCTTGTAATGGAACTAAGATAAGAAAAGTCGAAATAAAAATTGGGCCTAGCTTTAACCTGGTACACATACTGCGGAAGTTTCAATTAATGTACCTTTTTCATGTCTTTGTTATTTGATAAGTATCATTTCTATTTTTGGTCAATTAAATTATTTCCAAATTGCCCTGGACTATCAGTTTGTTTGCAATGATTTCATGAATCATACTGTAAAACCAAAGATTTAAATAAAAATGTTCACTATTCCTGTGATGATCATTGCTTGCTTCGTTTTGTAAACACGATTCCCAAGATGTGAAATATTAAAATTTTCCTCTTGATTTGACCCTCTTGTGTGGGTCAGAAACGTTTTCAAAACCCATCTGCTAATACTTCCTGATAAGTATACTTGTTTGTATTAACATTTTTAGAGTGCAAGTTTGTAAAAATCCTAATATATATATAAAGTTCATGCAATTTTGAAACATTTTCAGATTATGACAAACCTATAAATCAAAATCATCTTTCCCTATCCAGTGTGTTACTTTTATTCAATACTGTGTATGTATCACTGAGTTGCACTTATTTATTTTTCACGTTCAGACACATTATTATTATCTTCCTAACCGCATGGAATTTAGTTTTCAGTTAAATAAAAATTTCCATCACATCATTCTGGCCGCTTTAGATTGTTTTATTTAACGAATGCTAATAAAATCTCTCTTTTGTTGTACTGCCATTGGTAAGAACGTTTACAATTCAATTAGGCAGCGATAGCGTCGGAAAAGGGTAAATTTCAAATGTAACATTGCCAACAACGTTTAGCTATAGGACAGTTGTAATATCTCATTTGACGTCGTCTTTACTGTCTAAAATTCACTTCGTTTTGGTCGTTTGGGCCTGTTGTGGTGTGAAACATGGGACCCCAAATGGCGAAATAGGGTATTCGAATATGACAGAAGCCAAAACTAGCCCAAGCTATTTTAGAACGCCCTGGTTGTCAGTAAATTCTGGGACAACCGTGGCCCGGGGCGCCAGACGTCAATTCCGGGGACGGTCGATAGCCCTAGCATCAGCAGGTCTTGAATAATTTTAGAATCCCGATTTTCCGCAGGCTATATGTGTGTGTGTGTTGACTTGCATTGCCTATTTGTTTTAGTGTTACGGAAATATCAAAATAAACTTTACTAACCGTGTGCTGCGTCTATATTTTGTTTGTTACCGAGCGGCGTGGGTTGTTAATGTAAGTCCCTCATATTGGGTTCGATACTGACTGGGACGCCTTATCGGATTTCTGTGCTTTCGGAATATAACTACTCATTTAAATCTTTCCCAATTACCTTTTGAAACTACTAAAATTAGGCTTGTTTGCGTTACACTACTCGACCCGAATGATCAAAAATGGCGTCCGTATGACGCCATAATGGGACAAGTTAGTTGCACGGGGTTGATACGGATAAGCCGTCTTATCGGCTTTCCTTCCCCCCGGGATAAATATGTAAATCCTATCCGCTCCTGTAAATCCTAATTAGTGATGGGACACTGGGTGTCACTAAAGAATCCTGAGTTTCGATTCGATAATTCTTCGGTCTCCGACGGATATTATTTTGTGATCAAACAAACGCGATCGCAAGACTTTTTATATCTGATATAAAATCCAAG